TGTGTTGTTACAGGGGTTTTTAGAGAAATGTAGTACTTTGTTAAAGAGAAAGGATGCTTATAAGGCAAACTGTAACTGGGGACTTGGGCGGTATTTTTCCGTTCACCCAGATCCATTCATTGACAACCCCACCTGGAGCTGAGGCTTCATTGCGATCCACCTCCTTTGCAGATCTGACATGCTCTGGAGGCTACCTCCAAGGTCCAGTGCAGAGACAGGCATCAGAACTTCATGGAGAAGTTTTACATTGTGAGTAGTCTGAAACAGACATTGACAATTAGGAATGTGTTTCTGGTAACTCAGCACATGTGATCACTTCAGTGGTGACACGGTGTGCTGAGCTTTTCAACCCCTGTAAACACTGGCCTTTGTCAGAGAGGTCACACACATCCCTTGATCTCCTGTGACTTTTATGTTTATTAAAAAGTTCAATTTATTTATTTTGTGTGTATGAGTATGCTGTTGCTCCATTCAGACACACCAGAAGAGGGCGTCAGATTCCATTACAGATGGCTGTGAGCCACTATGTGGTTGCTGGAAATTGAACTCAGGACTTCTGGAAGAGTAGCCAGAGCTCTTAACCTCCATGTCTCCAGTCCTTATATTATTTTTTTTTAAATCATGATAACATATAACAAAATGCACAATTTTTACCCTTTCTATGTGTACAATTAAGTCACCACCATCCACCTACAGACCGTTCTCATCAACCTGAACAGGACCTCTGAACCTGTTAAACAGCACCCCATTCCCTTCTCCCTTTTTGCATCCTCTGGTGGCGTCCATTTTGATCTTTGTTTCAGAATTTGGCTACAGGGCTGCAAATAAGCAGAACCATGTGATTTCTACACTTTTGTGCTTGGCTGATTTCTATTACCTCATGGTTTTAAGGCTCTATCATGCTGCACAGATCAGAATTGATTCTTTGAGGGATACCATTTGACATCCCTTTTTGTTTGTTTCCATGCTAGGATCCAAACCCAGTGCTTTACGTAAGCTTGGTCTTGCAAGGAGCCATTGCCCAACCCGTTTCCTTACCTTTTTAAGTTTCTCTTTGAACGTTTCCCACTGCTTGCTCACAGGCTTGCCTTCGATGGCTTTGAGGTACCATGCCATTCGGAGATGGCTGAGTTCTTCCCTTCTGGTTGTTTGCTTTTCCATAATGTTCTCCATAATGTGCATCTCATTTTTAACATTTAATATCTCATTCTCTTTTGCCTGTTGAATTAATAATCCATGTAATAGCTTTCTTTCCTAAGAGATACATTTTTTCTTTTGCATTCCGCTGTTTTAGGTGGCGAGTACTTCATCACACCCAAGCAGGACACAGACAAGCCTGAGCTTGTTGAGTACAGAGGTGCAATCGAGTGCTTAGACCTATAGTCTCTGTGTAGACAGCAGGTGCAGAGTCTTTAAAGGTCTCTGTAGTATTTCAGTGATTTTTAAGGGGGGAATTGAATAATAAACTTATATATTCTGTAATTGTGATTATTAAATTTAATAACTTATTAAAGACATTAGACCACAGTAACTCTACAGGAGTAACTCTACAGTATATTTTTAATGCTATAAATAAAGTTGTGGTACCTTTTATATATTATTAAGAAGCTATTAAAATATAACATATTCTTTAGTGTAATATAATCTAGGAATTGTATTTTATCGATGACAACTGCAGTCATAAGGGTGCAGTGGTATGAGTAAGGCCTAGAAAAGGCAAGCTATGATAAGATGTGTTGATGGTTAGCCAGCAGGATATAAGTGATTTTGAATTTGACAGAATTAGTATCATTAATTTGTTTTCTGTCTAGTTAGTGAACATAGTCCTCCTTTTATTTCAGTGTAGTGCCTGGAAATTCTTGTTGTAGTGTAGTGTAGTAAGGTGTTAAATTATCCATTCATTTTACATTTATTTCCACGCACCGTGGACTGTTCTCTGATCTTTCTTTTCAGATGCCTTGGTAGTGAGAATGCTAATGTTAGACAGAATTCTCAGTATCCACCACTGTAAATTAATAAGTTGGCACATTCATCTGCCAGAACTCTGGCCAAAGTCAATTAATCTGATTCAGACAAACTTTAGATAGAAAAAAAAATCAATTTCAAGCCTGAAAATACTAGTGTCAGAAACACATCCAACTCGAGACAAAGAGCCGGCTCCTATCTCCCTACCCCCAGCTAAACCCGTCACCACACTTCAGCAATATGCTCTTACAAGACTAATGCTCTGTGTATAGGGAGAGGAAAGACATCCTTATCAGCAATTTCACCTATCAGTAGGTCAACCGATCATTAGAGTGAATTATTATGTAGACTTAATATTTTATCAATAAAGAACTTGTCACAAGACTATGGAAAAGAACTTAAAGTAACAACGATGCCATAAAGATACAAGACTATGAGGAAGTAGTGGGAAGATATGGGCTATTTTCAGGAACTCTATGAATTGGGATTTCCTTATAACCTGCTAATTTAGACACAGATACAAGATTCAAGTTTGGATCCATTTCTTTCTGCAAACCATTCCACATGAAAATAACACTATCTGGTTATTTATATGTGATACTTGACACTTGATAAGGATTCACCAACCTGGAAAAAAGACAGGACTGCAGATCAAAAGGCAAGAGGAAACCCATACAGCAGAAGCAGCCACTGGAGGTGACTAGGACACACTCTACACACTGTGGATTAAGATGGTCCAAGGAAGTGTGGGAAAGCCGAAGCATGGATGTGAAAGAAACTCCCAACACGTATATTTACCTTTAAAACCACCTGGCATTTTCACCAGGTGAGTTGAAAAGAATTCTAAAACTCAGCAATAAAAAGACTATACAATAAACAGACACTTTGCAAATAATTTAATTTTCTTGTAATATAAACTGTAAGTGCCTAGAGATGAAAGGAGATGCACTAAACCAAGCAAGTGTATGAAAAGTAAAAAATAGAGGGAGCGCATGTTTCTAATGAAAAATAACTCGGTATCCAAACCTGGATAAATCGCTTAACAAGATTTTTTTTTCTGATGCTTAAAGAGGGTGTGATTTGATTCATTCAGTGAATGCTTTGCTTCTACACAAGCTCATCACTAAAGTTCTTCAAACAACACAAGTCAAAACAAAGAAAAAAATCGATGATTGAAGGTCAAAGAGATAAGAGTGTTACAACCCGATTCTGCCAAGTGATTTCTGTCTCCAGATGCACTCTGCAGCTCGCCAGAAAATGGCAAATGTCAGTCATCTTTAAGCATCTATAGCAAGATGCTTAAAGATTAGAGAAAGGAAGCTGGCCTGGTTCTCAGACCGGTGCCATTCAGTATGTGGGTAAGTTTCACATGCAGTCATCATGATAGGATCTGTGCTTACAGAGCAGTTGAATATCTGTGAAGAATGGCTCAGAAACAGAGTCAGAAGTTGTGCCACACACATACACATTGTGCAGGCACAATGGTGATTAGATTAAAACATAGTGAAAGCATTAATTTTTTTCCTTTTAAAAAAAAACTGCTAATCAATGTATTACTTCAGGAACTAGGATGTCAGTCTTCCTTTTAGACATTTTTGCTAAAGAAGTAATTGCAATTATAGAAGGCTGGCTTGACAAATCTACAGAATGAAACCCAAGAGAAATAGTTAATGGAGTAGATAGATCTAAATTAGTTTAACAAGATGAATCATCGTCTAAGGCCAAATGAAGTAAGGCAAGAACTATACAGGCCCACATCTTATGAAAATGCTAAGTAGCTGATGCAGAAAGCCCTGACTAAACTGAATCAAAGATTTAAAAGGTCACATGAGTGGTCCTGGATTGCCACGTAATAACAGAACAATTAAAAGAGACTACACTTAAAGTGTTAGCACCCTCCTGTCTCAACTACAAGAAAAAAAAAATGTCTGGTTGATTGCCGTTTGGTTTCTGATTCTGTTTCATGAATGGGTTTAGCAAGTAGAAATTTTGGCAAAGCAGATCAGCCTGAAGGAAGAAATTAAACGACATCGCAAATGATAAATTTGCAAATGCGTAGCTGTAGGAAAGACTCATATTAAACGTAGCAACTGCTTTCAATGTTGGAAAGAATTTCATATGTAAGAGAAATTACCTACGGATGGTTTTATGCCTGCCTTGCTACAGAGGTACAGTACAAGATATGAAGACGGACTTATTTAACATTTTAAAAACATTTTTTTTAACAGCTAGCATTTTTCCAACAATAAAACGAGCTGTTTCATTGGGGACATTCATGAGGTTTCTGAGGGAGAAATGAAGTAACCACATTTTTAGAATTCTATAGGCAGCTTCAGATAGATGAATGGCTGACATAAAGGTCCTAGGGTGCTTTGATTATTGAATTCAGGGAAACCAAGGCTTAGCTCTAAAAGCAGTGGAGCTTTGCTCTACAAGGACTGGGAGACTGAGGTGTTAAGGGAGAGATAATAGAGAACATGCAGTATGAACACAAAGGGAAGGAATGCTGGGAGTGAGAGACTGAAGCAGGGAGGGGTGTGGGGGAGTTAGGAAGGAGAGCACAAGGCTGGAGGTAGTGGTAAAGCAAAGTCAAGGATGGATAAAATCAATCTTTGGAAACTTACTACTTTGCAAGCTAATTAAAAGTTGTAATTAAAAATATGGATCTGTTAAGCCAAGAAGAAATTCTTTAGAACAAAGATTTATCATAATCTTTGTCTTTAGGTCCCTGGAAATTCTGTAAGGACCTTGCTGTCAACACAACTCAAAACTTGGGCATACACAGACTTCCGGGAATTCTGTAATAATAGTCCCACAGTACTTGAATCAGAGTAGCTAAAGCAGCTTTCTTATGACACATGGGCTCTGCGACAACAAAGCTTATAAATGTTGGGCTTCAGAACTAGTCTAACTTGACTGAAGTTGATGAGGCCTCCCTTGGGCAGCATGACTGACTAACGGACAAACCGAATGTGATTCTGACTTTGAGGAATAATAGCCACAAAAGGCGCTGGCTTCTTAATGCTGTTCTCACCATGTTTATTAAGTTCAGGAACTCGAGGCTCAAGTCCTTGGTCATAAAGCTCTTCTTTAAAAATAGCTGCCATTTCCTCTCAGCAGAATCAGACCGGCACTTGACCACAGCATCGTCTTCATCTTTCCAAGGGATTTCAGTCAGATAAAATTCCTTTAGGCTCTGAAGCTGCTCCTCTACCTAAAACAGGAAGAGGCAGATGAGAGTTAAGAAATATTTTAAATAAAAAGGACACAGAGTCCATTTGGAGCCAGTATATAATTAAACTGAAATTCCAGTTTTTGGCACTCTTTAAATAGCTATTAACTATTTCCAGGGTTCTGAAAACCATGAGAATCTGCTTAGATTGCTGACAGACAGGAGTCCCACAGCATAACAAAAGGAGTTGGTAAGGTTGTTGCCAATCAGAAATTATTTATTGTACCCTAGATTGTGTTTTATGTATATCCTACAATGAGAATAATTTATTTCAGAGATCAGGTGGCTGCTCTGTTTAAAACTGAGTTTTATAATAAAAAAAAAGGAACAAATAAAAATCAAGGGATACAAATCAGAAAAGAAGCAATTTAGCAAAAGACAATAGTACTTAATATATCGTAGTACTATGATTTATTTGTTATTTTTAATGTAATATTTTATTAATTCTTTGAAAATGTAGTACAATGTGTTTTGACCATACTCACCATCTACTTCTCTAATTTTCCTAGGTCCACCCCCACCTCCCGATTCCCTCCTAACTTCTTTATCTCTTCTTTGTTTTATAACTATAACCTACGGAGTCCATTTGTGCTGCCTATATATACCCACAGGTATGGGATCATCCACTGGAGCATGGTCAACATACCAGAGGTTACCCCTTTAAAGAAAACTATCTCAGAGCTGTAGATGTGGCTCAGTGGCTAAGAACAATGGCTGCTCTTCCAGAGGACTCAGATTCAATTCCCAGTACTCATCTGATGGCTCACAACCATCTGTAACTCCAGTTCTAGGGAAACTTGTGGCTGAGCATTCTACTGTACAGTTTATTTTTAATCATGGTGAACCATAATAAAAGGGTTCAAATAGTGATGAATTTTCTGGTAGCCATTAATATGAAAAACCTTCACAAGCTAATCTTATTAGAACATTCTACTTTGGCTCCCTAGAACTACATTTAAGCATTTGTTAACCAATATTAGCAGTACTCAATTATTTTAAATTACTCTCCTGAGCAGAGTTAATATACAATCAAATGTGTAACTATAGATTAACAAGTAATGAGGTGATAGAGAATTAGTAGAAAGCATTTGGAACTAATTTGTATGCATTTTGGATAATATTTAATGACTAATAAGACAAGACTCATAGAACTCCTAAGTTACAAAAGCCATGGAAACACAGTATGATATTTCAAACAATAGTCACCATACTTTGAAGGTTTCAAGACCATTCTTAGTTGAAATGAACTAAAGCCAGACTGCACTAGCTCCCGGGGCCAGAGGCTCTTTGCTGACTTCCATATTCTACTTATTCTGTTGATGCATGTTTCCTAAGCTCACACCATCTTCTCCTTAATTTTCTTCTTCTTCTGTTTATCCTCAGTGAACCACATAAACGGTTGCCCTTTCCATGGAATTCTCTAAGATCCCCTACTAAGAATTGTTTACTTCCTTAGAGACCAAAGTTAGTTCTGTGAGAAAAAGGCCAATAAGACATGTCTGTGTACACACAGCAAACAATGTCATAGGGACAAAGAAGGGATAACCACAGCTCTACACGGAGTAAGTACAGAAAAACTTTCCAGCAGGTGACATCTGGTCTGTCCTTTTCTAGGCTGAGAGCAAACGGAGGTCTTGGATGGAAGAAACTGGTGCAAAAGCAAAGTGGGGAGTTACTGGCATCAGGGAGAATGCATGCTGTTGGTGTGAATGACATTCAGATTCTTCAGCTGGCTGGCAAGGAGGAGTCTGGAAAGATCGTTGTACTGGGATAAGGCTGCGTGTAATGTTTCACCTTGCTTTCCATTGTAGCCAACAGAATCAAGACACAGTCTCATTAGTTGAATGTAGCCAATAGTGAGCAAGTGATGACGGCTGAGACTGGTAAACAACTGAGCAAACTGGGAGAAAGGTATGCAGAAACCTCTGTGATGTCTCAATAGATACAAGGACGTGTGGCCTTTCAAACAGAAAAGGCAAGGGGGACGGAAGTTTCCCAACAATGCATGTCAACCTTCTCCAAGCCCCAGTTTCCTTGACCTGTAAATGGATAATACTAGGTAACTAAGACACAGAATCATAGGAACACAATGAAATCAGGAATTAAACGCCTGAGGCACAAAGTAAGTGCTCACTGAGAGACAGACTAGAGAAGATACTGAACTCAGTGATGACTAAAATGTCCAATAAAGCTCTTAATAGAAAGTTGGCTGACCAGAGAGATGATTCTGTGGTTAAGATCACTGGCTACTTTTCCAAAGGACCCAAGTTCAATTCCCAGCACCCATGTGGCCAGTTCACAACTGTTTGTAATTCAGCTCCAAGTGATTTGACACTCTTACATAGGCATACATTCAGGCAAAACACAAATGCACATTAAAAATTAAAATTAATAAATAATTTTTTAAAAAGTTGGGACAGTATTCAAACTGCCGTGCTTTAATGGCTGTACAATTAAAAAAATACAGTAAATATCACTGTACTGAAACATAGTAAATTTTATGTTAATAAAGCATACCTCGATAATTTTCATAAACACCAAAGGAGAGTATCCAGCTGGGTTACCTCAAGCAGGATGAGGAATGAAAACACACCAGTTGACTTTCTCATGATAGGTATTTCATAAGAGATGCTTAATGCCAAGAAGAGGTGACACATGGCAGGGCCAACAAGGGAGGGAACTGAATTGCATTTGGAGGAATTCTATGGAGGATGAACAGTTAGAGGAATGTCACCTTCCCATCCCAAGGGTTTATAATGAAGGGCAGGAAAGTGATAGTGGGGCAGAGAGCCAGATCTCAAAGGAAATAGACAGCACAGGGAGAGACTTACTGATCAGGGCTCGGTAGGACTATACCACTTTCCAGGAGCCATGGGGGAGATAAGTGAATATACATCAGTAAGCTGGGAAGTAGAAGGAAGTCCAGAGAGTGAGCCTCAATGGTCTCTTTGTCTCCTACAGTATCTGAAGTCCAAAGACATCAGCTGAGATTTGAGAATGGAATAAGATGCTTGTGAACACCAAGCAATATAAGCCAATGGTGGCCCAATAGAGATACCGACTCATAAATTAGTAACCGTGGCAATCATTCCATTGTCTGTTTTTGTGCCTGGAAGCTTTGACAAAGAAGCTGAGTAGACAGGGTGTTGGACTGACCGAGTGTTGGAAGTTGGCAGGGTTCATATGTGGTAGAGGGCAGGGAGTTGGTTCAGAGAGGTAATGGGAATGAGTAATCAAGAGTTGCTGAGTTAGAAAAAGGAAGGCCAGGAGTACAGGGGGTGACAGATGGGAAGGGTGCAGGATTGTGATGGAAAGTTCTATCAGGTAGGAAAGGAGATTGAGTGGAAGTGGGAACACTGAAGGACATGTGGTGTCTTAGGGAGTGTTGTTTATAAAGCTCCATTTCTTGGATCCAAATGCTAGTGTGGGACCTGGAAGGAGATGCTTAACATGGTACCAGGTAGGTACCATTTGGGGCATAATGATGCAGAAATAAAGCATTGCTTATAGCTGCTCTAACATCAAGACTTCAAGTTAGGTTAGTATGGCGCTCTGTTAAAGACTGCTGGTAGGAAGAGAGGATGGGGGTATTAGGAAGGTAGAGGTGGGAAACTAGAAACCAAGCATGCTACCTAACTTTAGCTGTACTCCCGAGAGGGTCTTGATCCCATCAACAATAGTGCCCATAACCCTTCACAGAAGAGTTATCCGCACCCATATAGGGTTTTCTGGAGCGAGAATTAAGTGAGGAGCAACTCCAGACTTTTGTATGACTGATACCACCCTTAAGAAGCTTTTCTTCTGAGAAGTGCGATCTTCATCCACTTGAGGGAATAGGAGAGATTACTCTAACCATGTCAAAATGAAGCTTGAGAAAAATCCTGGAGTAAGATTTAAGGCATCTGGGTATCAAGCAAGATAGATTCAAGAATGAGTCAATCCCCTCTGTCTTCTTGTTCTGTTCATTTTAAATGCACAATACTCTGGTGCTAGAGCAATGGCTCAGCAGTCAAGAGGACATAGCGCTCTTACAGAGGATCTCAGTCCGATGTCCATTACCCACATCGGGCAGCTCACAACTTCCTGTAACCCCAGATCCACAGAGTACTGACAGCCTCCTCGTGCTTCTGTGGGTACCACACTCACATCCACCCCATACTCACATACATATTTGTTAATAACAACAACAACAACAATAATAAAGATTTTTAAACAAAAACTACTACTCTTAGTATTCAAAGGGATCTATGGTCTAAATGATGAATATTTTCATATTTTTCTTTATTTAAGATAGGTATAAGGATGTATAGCATGCTATAATAAACTATACATACCTATTTATATTTTTCTGGATAAAATTACTTACTCTGAGGTTTGGGGTGGTGCCTTGAAGAGTAAAGGGTATATAAGTAAATACAGGCACTGGCAGAGACACAAACTTGGGTGGAGTTTCTATACTCATAGAAAGCAGAAAGACGGACAGAGGCCATGCTGCTGAAGCAGGTCAGCATTGCACCATACCTCCTCGGATGACTTTCGAAATGCCATGGAAGTCTGCAGGACTCGTGACCTGTAGCTGATGCTTCGACCAAGCACGTTTAATTCTGCTTCTAGCCATTTCACTTTAAGAGGAAGCAATACCACTTCATTGAGTTCAAGTTCATTTTTCTCTGTCATGATTTTTGCAGCTGCTTCTAATGCATGTGCCGTCTCCTATGAAAGCAAAGCACAAGGGGTCAGATGCTGACAGGGGAATTGTGAACATTCACATTCCATTACCCTTTGGCTCATCCATCTATTACGGATATTAATTGAACTTGTACTGAGAATTTCCTCCATCAAAGAAAGGTATAACTTTCAGAATTCCAAAAAGGAAGGGAAAAAGGCACTTGAAACTGACAAAACATCCCCAGCCCTTCCTTGGCTCTGTCCAGGTGCTTAAGGTAGAGGCACAATGCTCTGGGGACATAGAGAATCAAGACCCAGTAAACACGTTACAGCTCCAGAGGTGTGTTGTGCTAGGACTCTGAGCTCTTCAGTCCACTGAAGAATGCTTGAATGCTTCTAGCAAGTCTAGCTGACAATGCTTGCACTCTCAGCTCCAGTTTTTGGCGTTTCTCTGCCTCTTGCCTTCACGGACTTTCCTTAGCTACCCTGGGATGCTGCCATTGGTGTTGCTGTGTAGGCCTTAGCTCCAGGCATCAGGCTCTCAGCTCCTGGGAACCCTCTGAAACTCTTCAGTTCTGCTACTGCTGTTGCCTCTGCCACCCATGTTGGAAGCCCCAGGAGTCTTACCTGCCCATTATACAATTCAGTTCAGTCTGCTCTACCCAAGATACAAACCTCAGGTAAACTAAGATAGCATTCAGGAGAGGAACTTCTTGTGTCCTACTGTTGCAAAACAGAGGGATATCACGAAGGAAAGGAACTCCCCAGACTCCCAATAGCAACAAACAACCTGCTTGTGCCAGGAGAGGAGGGACATGGCATGCTGGTGCTTAGATTTTGATTCTGTCTTTCAGTGACAGCCTGGATATGTAGGCCTTCCTGTTCTACCAGCCACAAGCTTTATATAAGCACCAGTCACAAGCCTCTTGTCAGTTCAGCCTCTCGAGCTTTGTGTTAAGGCTGAGTCCTACTCTTCCTCCTAGACCTGGGTGAGTACAGCTGTTGCTAGACTCAGAGCCGATGGGTGGTCAGGTGGGAAAGGAGTCCTTTTGGGGGAGCTCTGGGCAAGGCCATTAGGAGGGCATGGCTCACGTGAGGTTTACTGATGATGATACAGACTGGAGCAGTGTCTAGAGCAGTAGTTCATGACCTTCCCAATGCTGAGACCCTTTTATACAGCTTCTAATGTTGTGGTGACCCCAACCATAAAATTATTCTTGTTGCTACTTCATAACTGTAATTTTGCTACTGTTACAAATTGTAATGTGATCTGATATGCAGGATATCTGCTAAGCAATTCCCCAATAGGGTTTTGACCCACAAGTTGAGATCCCTGATCTAGAGCGAGGCCTCCAGAAGCAAAAGCCTGTGGCCTCAGCCACAGTCCTGATTGCTGTACTCCTCGTAGCCAAGTCTAGTTTCTTTAAGACATCCTTGAAGTGCTCAAAGCCAAGATTCCACTATGACAGTTTAGCCAGTAGCCAGTAAGAGAGATTATTAAGCTAACAGCTCCATTCAAGGTAATGAGACACAAAGAAGAGTCTGACAGCTGTCAATCAGAAGCTCAAACTGGCCCCGTCCCCAATAGTTTAGCTTATTTGTGGGGAAAGTAAACATTAAAAGGTGCTTTAAAGACCTGTCACAGCATTAGCATTCTTAACAGTATTTAGTAGTGCTTAACTCCTGGTTAATTGCCCTTAGGGAGAGCTGGTCTTTCTGATCTCCTTTAATCCTTTACCCGCATGTCTATTCCAATGGTATATAAACAAAATTATTATTGCCGGTCATATAAAAATGCAGCATATATAATTATGTGCAACACACAATGCTTCCTAATTAACTACATTACTGGTTCATATATTTGCTATACACCAGTTTTATTGTCGGAGTATTCTTCTACACATATGAAAAATGTCCTGTAAGAGAGGAGACCTGCTCGTGCTGGCAGCAGCTTCATACATGGTGTTTACGTTTCTCTACGGCATCAAGGAATGATGTCTAGCGACTGCCTATGTCTGTGTAAGTGCACACTGTGATGTTCACACAACAGCAGCCAAGTCATGTAACAGCACGCTTCTCGGAAGCATCTTCATCACTAAATGATACATGACTAAGAGCCGCTGAAAGAGAATCCCTGTAAAACTTCCTGAGAACAAGGGAGGAATCGAGCAGAATTAAGATGTTGGTGCTCTCATTTGCAGCACAAGGGAAACCTTCCCCGGTTGTGTTTAATATGCTTTCCAGGAACCCCACTGACTGCACTGAGTCACAATTTGCCAGCCCTGCTTTGTGACAACACACTGCAGAATAAAAGAGGAGCATGGGATTTCTCCCCCTGAGTTCTCTCTCATGCTTCTAAAATTTAAAAGGAGAATGCCTTCAGACAAGGCCTAAGCATTTAAAATGAAGATGTTCCTAAATCCTATTCTAATAATAAGGAAAGAAAAAAAAACCAGTGTGCCTATCTGCAGTGAGGGGACTATTTTGAGTGAGGGTCTTCTGTGGAAACCAGGAGAAACAGGGCTTTTCTTGCTGATTTGGGGGGGGGCGGTGGAGGCACTCACTTTAAATTCCATGGGGGCAGGCAGACAGTGTAGATTTGGAACCTCTAGTGCAGAGGTGCTCAACCTGTGTGGCACAACCCCGTTGTGGGGGGTATCACCTAACAGATACCCTGCATATCAGACATTTACATTATGTTTCATAACAGCAAGATTACAGTTTTATGGTTTGGGGTCACCACAACATGAGGAACAGTGTTAAAGGTCACAGCCTTAGGAAGGGTGAGAAGCACCGCTCTAGCTGGAGTCACTGAATTCAAAGCCGAGCCACAATTAGGGGCAGGGCATTCATTGTCTGAATATAGAGGGTGAAACAAGTTTCCATTTGCCTCCTTACAGATTGCAGTGACGAATGTTGTTTCTGGAAATTCTGTGTGACTTTATTGTGAAATTCTTGTAAAAAATCACAAACAGTCTTAGAGGAGTGCTTTCCTGCCTAGTCTGGCACCTTGAAAGAGTTGCTAACACCTGAGTCTGTTCTCAGGCAGAGAACCAATGCCAGCTAAGTACCTAAAATACACAGTTGCAATAAATATGCTAATAAATGGACACAAAAAATATACATAACTTAAACACATTTAACAGTGCATGTGGTTTCCATGTTGTTATCTGTATTAACTTACAAGTGCAGCTCTTGAGGGAGCTGGGATTAAGCTCCATATCTTTGGAAATTGTTTTAAAATAATTACTTACAACATTATGGTCTTAGAAATAACTTTCATTTACCTTGACTCGGTTATCCAATTCCAGATATTTATTTAAAATCTTCTCTGATTCATAAGGGCTGGAACTGACATTCAATGTGGTAGCAAGAACCGGCCTAATTTCCTGAATTGACATTTCCACCTTGGGGAATAGAGAATATATTGTAGTCTTAATAATATATACTTATGTAAAGTAGTGTACATAAAAGGAAATATTGTTCCATACATCACCATTGCATTTTAAATGTCTTTCATTTTGTGTAAAATTGCTTTACATTTTGAAGAATATCATATTTTGATAATGCCAATCTTCATATGATGCCATACTGGTAAGCTATGAATACATTCTTTCATTAACAGCAATGACTACAAGTTATCATCCCTACATACCCATGAAGAGCTTTTCTATATTGCCTACAGAGAGATGATGATAACACACTTGCTAACATATAAGCAGAGATAAATTCATCTATATATTGAATGAGACCAGTTTGCTGGCACAAGTATGCAAGCATTCCAACTCGAGGTGTTAGACTACCCTACGGGCAGTTATACTTAAGGCTGAGGAGCTCTGGAACATGCTCTGTCCAGGTGATAGTGAAAACAGGGACCTACTTGAATCATTTCCCTGATCAATCAGGGAATTGTGATTTGATCTTTGGTTCACAAGAACCAGTGGCTAAGGTGACCCTGGGAAGGGCTTCATTCCACTCGAGTTATTTCCTTCATCCCTTGCTTTCTGTAGCATGCACACCCTCCACAGCTAAGTCGGCAATAAGATAAGAAGCAGCCATTGTTTAACTTCTTGCTGTGTTTTCCACAATCACTGAATTAGCTTGATTCTCAAGTGGTAGGGAAAGCAACACCACAGCTGCTCCTGTGCTCAAACTCTCCCTGGACCCAGGTAGTGAGATACAGCTCACAGTCACAAGCTACCGAGTCAATTAGCAGAGGAGAGGCAACCTAATAGGGATGGCATCTAATGCCAGGTCCCATGAAGTCTGTTAACTCTGCTCCTATATGTTCAAGTATATAAGTAGGTTGCATCGAATAAAAAGATGGCTGAACATTTGAGACCCAGTGTCTTCAGCACGGTTCACTACCACGATGTCTTCAGTGGACAGGAAGTAAAATGCTTCCATAGAAAGCTACTGATCTCTCTGCAGAGAGGACTTTTCCCGTGAGTGCTTTTGTGGATGACTGTGGATGACTGTGTCTCTTGCACTGGTTTTGTTCAACCAATATGGTGACGACACCAGATTTTTTTCCAAGAACAACAAACCCCAAAATTGTTGATAATTATTTGGCTGTCTGAAGTCCTTCTGTTCAATTGTGCCATTATGATGACAGCTAGCATGTGACTTTGGTCAGAGTCATACAAACCAGCCCCCTCTTTCAGTGTATGTCTGATGTGGATAACACAGAACTATGGAGAACACATAACTTTGTATATATACATTCAGGACTGGAATGGAAGACAACATTAGACATTTATTGTTGGCAACCTGGAGCTCATGTAATTGCTGAACAACAGTGAATTACAACTGTTCATCCAATTATAAGACCTACTATGTAATATAGAGGAAGTCTAAGGAAACACACCCCACCCTCCCAAAGTGCTTACAGTTGGCACACCATTCATGAACACCAAATAAAATGTCTATATTTTATTTTATGAAAGTACCTTCTTTAGGTAGTCATCCACTGATGTTGCTAATTGCTGTTTCTTAAGGGCAAATTCCTTGTGCGCGGTACACTGTTCAGTGAGACAATCCACTTTCTTCTGAATGCATCCCATCATCTCATGGATTCCTGTCACCCGAGAGCTGAATGGAACAAGCCGGTGGTTAGTTCACTTGACCTTGACTTAGAATCCCCGACAAGAGGACACATCTGAAAACAGATCTCTCCTTTCATGGGCAGTCTGAGTTGGTACAAGCTACAAGCTACTGCTTTTGGATAATGGAAGCTATCATACTGGTACAGCAGGCAGCAAAGACAGAGTATGTTCCTTTGTTTTAAATCTGTCAGTCCTATGGGAAGGATGAATTATGGCTTCTGCAGCAGGTCTACTCTTTTCTAAAGGTTTACTTTTTAATATTTCTCTAAGATACTTTGAGAATCTTATGGTAAAAGGCACAGTATGTTTACCAAGTTTTCCTGGGGGTATCATTTAAAAGCTTCATTTATTTCAAGATGCTCTTTGAATAGGAATGTGAATCAGCCAATTAACAAAGCATTTGCTAACCCAACAGGGTAAAATATTTATATATTTTATTCTCAGTGGTTATGAATGCTCAAGGCTATATTCACTAGATAAATGCCTAGTTATCACTAGCAATTAGGTATCAAATATGCTTGTCCATATTTCGTCTTCACATTTTCATTTTTATAACCGTTTTGACCTCATGAGATGAAGGTGACATGGGGGTTCATAAAGGGATGGGACTTTCAAACCAGCTTTGAGTTGGACTCCAAGTGCTCCCATTTGCAGAAAGAGTCACAGGCTTCCTAACCATCTCCAAGATTTCACAATGCAAGAAGGATAGTGTGGGCGGAGTGAACACAGCACCTTGCCTACTATCTTAGAAATCTAAGTCTTTAATTTCCCTTCATCCATTTTCCTTCAACTACTAGCAAAAGTTAGCATGATAACTCTTTAATTATCCTGAGAGTTATTTTAGTTTCTTTCTTCTTCTTTCTTTTAAGATCTTGGAGCTAGGTACAGATTTCAGGAATTTGACCTCAAATAATTAATTTATGAGTCAGTCAGTAAAAATAAATTAGTAATGAAATGAAGACAAGATAAAAAAGACCTGGGGGTACAGTAATGTCACTAGGATGGCTGTAAAGATGTTTCCAAAGAGAGTCACACTTGGATGTGCCTGGGGTACATCAAGGGTCCCAGACAAGAATAATTGTGAAATATGACATGAAGCCACTATGAGAAATATTGTCCCTGGTATACAATGTTCCAGGCACATTTAGAGCAATTAGTCTTATAGCTCAGTACTTACAATCAGTGAAGAAAGTAATAAAAACACCAGGAGACTTTTAGAACCTATTCTTAATGAATATTGAATATTCAGAATATTGAAATCTAGAATGAGAAAGATAACGTGACTGTGTAGCACCATGGGAAAGGCTCAGAGGAAAGGGTAATGGCAGGGACTGGCAGACATGGAAAGAAAAGGAATGGTGGGAAGCGGCAGGAAACACCATGGCAACTTGCAAGTTATGGCTAACATTTGTAATATAGAATTTGTAAAAAGAGCTGTGCCAGCCAGGGTGAAGGATGTTCTCTTCTACTTCTGAGTCGCCTGCGGCTCCTCACCCCCAACCCCAGCATGCATCCTGCATCCATTACAGTTAGACATTTGCTTACTGATCACACTTAGAATAGACACCTCCAAGAAGGAAACTGGAAGACAACTACAAATTTTGAATGGCCTCCTCCCTGGGTGGCAGCAGCTGTCCGTCAAAAGTCTAGCAAAGAAAGACACTATTCGCACTACTCTTTGGTTCCCAGCCAGCTTTGTGTATGTGTGCATGTGTGTATGCATGTGTGTGTGCATGTGTGTGTGCATGTTTGCGTGGTATGTGTGTGTGTGCATGTTTGTGTGTGTATGTGTTTGTCTGCATGGGTGTGTGCATGTTTATATGTGTGCTTATCTGCATGTGTGTGTTGTAAGGTGTATGCACACATGTGGAGGCTGGAAGTCAACACTGAGTGTCTTCCTCAATTGCTCTTCACTGTATTTTATTTTATTTTATTTTATTTTATTTTATTTTATTTTATTTTATTTCCTTTCACTAACCTGCTTAGTCATGGAATGGCAGAAGCAAGATTTGAGCCTGAGTATCTGATCTTACAGTCAATTCTTTTTCCCCCAATCTTCTTGCACTTTTTCTGAGTATGGAACAATGCATAAAGCATAGTGAAGTATTTTTCTCCTAGTGTTCTTTTATTGGCTGCTGCTGACTTGCATTCAAATAGATAGACCTGGTTGTCAAGTTCTTTTGAAATTAGTTGTTTTCTCTAGATAAAAGCTATGTCTGCATGTAGTCTGGAAAATGGCCACTAGAGGGTTGTAATACCTTGTTCAAATTGCCTATCTTTGAAGGTCCTTCCGGCACAGAGAACACAAAATAAGAAAACAAAACCAAAAACCAAGCATTTCTTCAGTAAAAATATCATCTTTGCAAAAACTGCAATTTTAATTTTGACAAATCAATGCCAATAAAATAGGCTCTGTCTGCTGTTTCTGATTTTGTTTTTCAATCACCTAGGAGATTTGTTTCTTATCAGGCACTGTATCTACTGTGCCACAAATTCTTTAAGGGTAAGGGCTGGTGTCCTACTTACTCCTATAATCCTTGTAGCTTGAGCACATGGTCTTATAATAATGGAAGGTTAATACATTTTTTAAAAAGTTCGAGACAGAGTCTCAGCTCTCTGAGCCTGGCCTCAATCTTTCCATGTAGCCTGGGGACCTGGAACTCTTAATCTTCCTATGTCTATCTCCTGAGTTCTGAGATTACAGACACACACTGACACAGTTGTTTTACGGGATGCTGGAGATCATACTTTCTAGGCAAGTACTCTACCAACTGAACTACACCTCTAGACCAATTCATGTCATTTTAAAGTTCATTAAAATATTGTCTGGTGAACATTTAATGAAAAAGAACACATAAATTTAAGGAATGAGAAAAATATATATGTACAACAGTGAGATAACCATTATGTTAGCAACCAACCACTTTCTGACTGGGGAGGTCATAGACTCTAGGGGGAGAACCTACCTGTTGTTTTGTTAAAGGGATGGTGTCAAGCTACATTCTAAGTACTTACATACTTATGTTTAAACTCATAGATTAGTGCTTCTCAGAGTCTCTTCCTTTTGCAGTGGGCAGTAGTTTATGTAAAAATTCATAAGTGGTCAAAATACAAAGAAGAAGCAACTGTGGAAAGACTTGTATGGATACCACCAGCCCGTCTGGCTCAAGGAATATAGATGGGGCATAGAGAAGGTAAGAGACAGAGGGTGGAGAGGGTGCTATAAAGCAGCTCTTTAGGGCCTGACATAGCTGTTGCACTCATAAACTCTATGTTGCTATATTCACCTGCATACAAGCTACATAAGAATCCCTGACATTATTAATGATATGGTTATGCTTGCAGACAAGAATCTAGCATGGCTGTCCTCTGAGAGGTTCCACCCAGCAGCTGACTCAGACAGATGCAGAGACCCACAGACAAACATTGAATGGATCTTGGGGACTCTTATAGAAGAGTTAGGGGAAGGATTGGGGGCTCCAAGGGGATAAGAACTCCACAGGAAGATTGACAGAGTCAACTAACCTGGACCCTTGGGGGATCTTAGAGACTGAACCATGAACTAAGAGCCTACATGGGCTGGACCTAGGTTTCCCCACACATACGCAGCAGAGGTACAGCCTGGTCTCCATGTGGATCCCAAACTGGAGCAGGGGCTGGGGAGTGCTATTCCAAATCCCAAAAGCTGTTGCCTGTTTGTGGGATACATTCTTCTAGCTGGGCTGCTTTGTCTGACATCAGTGGAGAATGGGCCTAGCCTCACAGAGACTTGATGTGCCACAGTGGAGGGATACCTAGGAGGTCTCTACCCTCTCAGAGGAGAATGGGGGAGGGATTATGGAAATGGGGACAGGGAAGGGAGGCAATGATTTGGATATAAAGTGAATAAATAAATCGGGGGAAAAAGATTTGGTCATCACTATTTTTTCATGGACGGGATAGAGGCTTATGAGGCCTCACCTCCCACTGAGGGATTATGGGTAGTTATGGGGTTTGGGGGAAGGTATTATCATTTCTTCAGTGGTACAGCCTTTGATAAATGGCCCATGGTTTTGGTAATAACTCCCTACTAATGCTCATGCAAGCAGCCATAATTATATTCAGTAGGTCACAAAAAGTCAAAGTAGGAGAGAGACTCATGGGGAAAAGGAGTTTCAGTTAGGGAATAAGGAAGACAGAGAGACAGTAATGAGGGGAAAAATTATCAAAATTCAATATACAACATATGAAATTCTCAAAAAAATACAAACTTTTTTTTTTAAAAAAAGGAAAACATAAGATATTCTGAAATCAGAATTTCTTAACTTTCACAGTAATAGTACCCCATGGCCTGTGGATAAATGGTTGCACTTTAGGCCACTTGCAGACATTTTAGGCCATCAGAGAAGCCTGGTTTCTTCTTTGTTGTGCTGGCACTTATAGCTGGGTTTAAGCAATCTTAACACAAATGGTTTGGTTCAATGTGCACGTCTCTCCTCTAACAAAGCTTTATGAGGACACTCTGAGTCACCTTGCTCCCATGAGAATTACTGTCCACCCCGTCCCTCTCCTGTCTGCAACATACACTCACTCCTTGGCTGGAGAAATTGTCAACTGCCCTGCTTACCCAAGCCAATCCCATTTTTCTTCTCTCTCAGTCCTCAAAACATTGTCTCCCTCTGATTGGATGCTATTCCCATTTCTCATTCCCAGTAGGAATATAATGATAGTACCTGGCCCATTCCTAACACCAGGGCTTCCCATGAGGCCTCTCCCCTTCCCCTGCTTTAGGTTTCCTTAATGAAACTCTGATCTGTAGATTACAAGCAGCCCAGATGTCATCGTTCTTCATTTAGAACCTTCCATGCTGATTCCAGACTCTTATTTTCAATCCCTTAAGACATGGATAGCATACATACTGGCAACGTTCTCCAGGTCCTTAAATAGTAAATGACCTGAACAAAGGATAAGCTATGATTTGCTAATTTTCTAACCATTCTCACATGA